TATCAACTGAACAGGAAGCAATGCAATTGTTATATTGATATAGATAGAACATGGTATTCACTACTGAAAACTGATCATGAAAACCTGTAGATTCAAGATCAATTAATGAAAACATCCTGTAACTCATTTGTAGACTAAAATCATTCATATGCCAACATCCACGCGACAGCTAGAGATTCCCCGTGTTTTTCTATTGAAGATTGCCATAAATGGGTGACGTAGGCAAGTAGATCTCCAGTAGATCTTTGGTGGCGAAAGCCGTATTGTCTATCATTGATGATTCCTGAGCTCTCCAGATATTTGATAAGCTCAATATTGATGGCTTTCTCCATCACTTTGGAGATTACTGATGACAGGGCAATGGGCAATGCAGTGGATTATGACCCAGGTGATCTATCAAAGTTCAAAAGACCTAGATATTCATGAACTAGAGACATATCAACATTATCACCAAATTTACCCTTCTTCAGTTTTTGATATTCATTTGTTCCGTTCGATTGTCAATTCCCAGAAGGTCTGTTCGCATCAAACTTCAATACCTACCGTTTGAATTTTTCTCTTCTATTTCATGATGGATATTAGAATCAGGATGAGAGGGATTCTTTCCTGGTATGAATCAAATGAAAGGAGGTTTCTTTAGTTCGTTTATTTTCTGAATATATGTTTTTGCAGAACATACGAAGAAAAAATAGATTTTGGCGATTTTTGTAATGGCAATATTAATGAATATGACGTCAGAGATTTCTCTAACGATATGCATCTGTAAATTACATCATTTCGAAATATCATAACTGCCGAGTGATTGAGATATAGTCAACAATATTTGAAGGTTGGTTGGAGGTCACTAAAATGCTTCAGAAAATGTACCTACTCATGTACTTTATTGCTCCACTCTGTATACAAGGACATTTTGAGGTGTCCCGTTCTTGATTTCGACCACTTCATTCCCTGTAAACTATTGAATCATTCCGCAAGTGGGATTAAATCGTCCAAATGAATTAAATTTTGATGGAGTCTAATGGCTCCAACTTTGCACTTACAGAATGATAAAATGAACCATTTCCCAGGAGCAGTCAGCTCAATTTGAGAATTAACTACATTTATATCTGGGAATTATCGTCGTATTTCAATAAAGTTGATTCAAAAGGGGCTCCTAATTAATGATATGAATCACCAACAAGGTATATTTGAGAAATTCAGAACCTCAAGACGTAGGAATTGAAGGGAATTTCGTGAAGAGACTGGCAGCTAATATAAGACAAACTGTTAAGGCTTGCGTAACCTCATCAGTTGCACTAGGCCTCTTTTTGAGAGGTATGAATGTTCAAATAATCTTCTTGAACGTCTTTGCACTGTCCCAAGCACTGACAAAAAGTGCTCCGTGTACTAAGCACTAAACACATTCGAAAAGTGCTCCGGAATCTTGAGCACTAAGCACTTACAAATAAGGGCAGTGCGTATCTTGGGAAATCTGAGAGCAAGAGATTCATGCAGGAAATATTTTAAAAACCTGGGTATATCCACAATGATTTCCCTTAATATTTATGAAGTGACCTGTTTTGTATATAATCATGAACGTCATTCTTTGACCGAAAAAGTTGAACATATATATTCACAATACAAGGAACAAAGATAGTTGCCTGTCAAAATCTATACAAGAATCGAAAAATAAATTCCAATTCAAGAATAAACTGAGAAAATTGCTGCTGAAGAAATCTTATTACCTACACCTTGCATGAATTCTTCTGTTATATCCAATCATCCCTCACTGATGAATAATGTTCGAGTAGACGTGTATACACTTTTTATGTTTATGTACCTGTGGAATCTTGTATATTATTATTTTCGTTTTATACCTACGATACTTATTTATGCATTTTAGCCCAATTTTGACGTTTTTTTCTTGAACTGTATGTTTTTGAAACAAATGAATTTCTCTATCTATGCATCTAAAATTCACAAAAAACTCGCGATTACTGCATATGAGCACTTTCAAAAAGTTTCGACATAATCATCAAGCAATAAGCACTGGGCACTTTTGAAAAAGATGATACTGATGAACTTGTTGACATTATTATTGTTTTCAAATAGATGTATAGAAAGTCATATGGTGTTATCACTTCCTATTCGAAGGAGTTTCGAAATCTCTCGATATCGCCTACTTTGTAAGAATAGCGAGGCGTAAGAGAATCGTGCTAAATTTTCGAAGTTTCAAACCAAATTCAAAGGCATTCATTCGGGTTCACATTCTCATTTTCAATTCAATTATTTATGTGAATGGAAACGGTGCGTTATATTTTTGACTTTCAATGGTGCTTTCATGAACGACACGATGTCCTAACTCAAGAAAATCCTGTGAAAATAGTTTATTTACTCACATTTTGTACATGAAATGAATCGAATGTTGATTTTTTCAAATAATTTTCACACATTGCAGCAGTCAGTTCATGATTAAAGCACAATCCACTCACTCAAATAATAATATAACATCTGCGTCGTGTCTGTTATTATTGAATTCGAGCATCATCAACGGGACTCCTCAGGTCTCGAGAGAAGGAAAACACATCATTGAAAGTCCATTTCAACTTCATAGTAAGATTCGAAACGCATTTTGAAATTTTTCCAGAAATTATCCATCGTTCAAGCCATCTATCATCGAATATAAGAACCCCACGTTCCGAACTCGCATTCAACTATTTATATCGAGAGCTAGTCTGACGAAACAATTGAAGAGTGGGCACACCAGAGAAATTATAAACATCTCAGTTTCTTAACACAGCCGTTCACCTTGACCCTCAGTTTTCAATGCAGTGATAAAATATTATGTGATAGAATTTACCTATCAATACTGCGTGTGCGGTGCATACTGCACTCTGAGTTCTATGACTGAGATCTCAACTCAATAAGTCCAGATACAGTGTGACCCACTTCTAATGGAACCACCCCTGTATCTTACGTAATCGTTGGGTAAGGATCCTGAAATTTGCTGAAGCGAGAGATATACCAAAAATGCACTCTATGACCAGGTCATCTTCAGTGATATACACTGCTCGCCAACAGCCATGAAACCACTCCAATTTCCGGAAAATTATATAAGGAGTCAAAATAGGTTGAAAATCACGTCGGATTCGGAATCAGGACGCCCAAGTTACTAACTATTCAAAGTTTTCCTAGGAGATTTTCAGTTCAGAAAAATCAAATTTCGTCTCACTTCTCATGGAAGAACCCCCGTATCTCACGTAATTATTGAGGTAGGGTTCTGAAATTTGCCGAAGGAAGAGAAAGTCCAAAGATAGAGTCAATTACGTGAGATAAGGGGGTGCTTCCATGAATAATGAGACAAAATTTTATTTTTATGAACTGAATATTTTCCAGGAAAAATTTGATCAGTAAATTGGGCATCCTGATTCCAAATCTGAAGTGATATTCGACCTATTTTGACTCCTAATATCATTTTCCGGAAATTGGGGTAGTTTCATGGCTGTTGGTGAGCAGTGTATATCACTGAAGATGACCCCACTTGGTCATAGAGTGCATTTTTCGTATATCTCTCGCTCCAGCAAATTTCAGGATCCTTACCCAACGATTACGTAAAATACAGGGGTGGTTCCATTAGAAATGGATCACACTGTATATGCCTTGTTGCTTGACTTTTCAGAAACCGTTCAATCCTGTTGCCGAACCTAGTAATTATGCTCCGCAACACATTCGAATAAGAACTAAAATGCTTGGGAATTCTCTTCGGGATTACTCAGCACTAAGCCTTTTTGTGAAATGCTCGAAGCACTAAGCACCAAGCACTTGTTGGAAAACGTGTTCAGGAGCACAGTGCTAACGAGCACAGAAGTGCTCTGAGCATAATGCTTTGCGACAGCTCTGACTGAAGAGTGTTCAACTTGCTCACCCCATTCATTGTCGATCTAGAAGCGATAAGTCGCGTGAATTTCTGCCGTTTTCTGGCACTTTCGGATGAGAATCAGGAAATTTTGAAAAATGGAGACGTAGTAGTCTACCGGATTGCTCCTATTGGCAAAAAAAGCGAAAAGCTAACTTTGAGCGCCGATATCTCTAAAACTATCTGTCCTACGGGGCTGATTATGGTCTCATTCGATTAGGCAGGTCATTTTCTACAATGGAAGCGAATTCTCGCGTGAATTTTAGCCGTTTCCTGGCACTTTCGGCCGTCCGAAGATGGCTGGGTGACTATATCGTATGGAAGTCCTAGGTGGGAAAATGAAAATTTTTATTTGGCCTATTAAAAATCTGAAAAAATCCACATTGACTAATTCGATGTCGAAATAAACGAATATGTGATAGAAATTCGTGAATTTTGGAAAATTGAGATGTAGTAGCCTACCGGATTGCACCTATTGGCAATGAAATCGGAAAGCTGCCTTTGAGCGCTGATATCACGAAAACTATCTGTCCTACGGGGCTGATTATGGTCTCATTCGATTCAGCGTGTCATTTTCTACTGAGAAAGCAATAATTCGCGATAATTTCCGCCGTTTTCTGGCACTTTCGGCCGTCCGAAGATAGCTCGGTGACTATCGTACTGAAGTCTCAGGTGGGAAAATGAAAATTCTTATTTGGCCTATTAAAAATCTGAAAAAATTCAAATAGACTGATTCGATGTCGAATAGAACGAATCTGTGGTGGAATTTGGGAAATTTTGAATAATTGAGACGTAAAAACCTAGTAGGCTACCTAGTTCGAGGAGGTAATTGCTTTCTCCTACTAACTTTCTAACTTGGTTGTCATCTAGATTTGATCGAATATCAAGATGTATGTGTGAAACAGAAATACATTTAGGAATGACGAATAGGTACTTACTTCCATCATGGTGAATAAAAGAGGGAGTTGGTAGTGAAATACAGCATGAGTCAGAATACATTTGACAGAAACTATCGTTGATGATGTATCATTCAATTTCTATATCCATGTGTCTGACTCAACCTGTATGAACATGTTATTTCCCAAAATAATAAAGAAGTCTTGTTAAAATTATTGTAAATATATTTCTTTGAACACACACTCGTAAAATTTAACAATATTAAAATTTGACATCTCTCACAAGAAGATAATAAATACAACATCTCTGATATTCTTCAGAGAATACGATAATAACTTCGAAATGTAATAGAAATTTTATGAATCGAAAATGATCTGCTATATCAAAGTTTGGATTGCTGCATAGCCTTATAATCCTTCAGTTTGCCCTTCAGCTTCCTTCTCAATATTTTTCCACTTGGATTCTTTGGTATGGATTCCACGAATATAACGCCTCCTCTAAGTCTCTTTTGAGGTGATACTCTACCTAGAATTTAGACAAAAAATATACAGAATCCATTTCTTGATACTCTCAAAACTAAAGATTTGAAATGAACTTGTGGATCACCACAAATTTTCGTGATAACCTATACAAGGTGTCCTAAAATTGCTTCGACACAGAGCTACCACGTGTAATACAGTTCAAAATATGTTGATGGGACCCAACTTATCTGAATAAAAAAATGTACTCTTTGTCTGTGAAACGAGTTCAAAGTTCACATAAAAAACACATTTCTGCGCTCTGTTAAAAAATCAGTGGAACAAATTGGAAAGAATGTACGAGATCGCATTTTGGGGGATAACCCTTCTTTCAGTATCCAAAGAAACCTGGAAGGAATTGTAGAAGGGTTGAAACAGACCCAACCACCTGACAAAAAACAACTAATTTCCTGGATATATGTCACGCAGAACATTGAATTACATTCTTCCGAAATCAGTTGCAAGTGTTTCCTTCCTAAATGCAGAAATGTGCTCGAATTCTTCAGGAAAGCTATGCTACACACAGCCTGGTTACTCCAAATGGCATTCATGACCGCCATCTGGTATGAACCAGACCCAACTTAGCACAACTCTGCAATTAGGAAAGACACACTTGCAACTGTATCAGTTCATACCAATCGTAGCATTGATTTCCGGATAATTCAATTCAATGTTCTTCGTGGCATATTGCCAGAAACTTAGTTGTTTTTCTCTCGTTATCTACGATTTTCATTCATCTTATGAACAGACTTTGAATTTTTCCTATCTTGTATTATCTCTTGGAGCTCACTATAGGAAAATTCCGATAATGTTCGAAGAACTTCGTGCCTACCTAAGGAGGATAGGGAGTGGGGATAGGTGTTGAAAATGTTTTTGGACTCTTTGGAGTTCACGAGTTCTTGAGAATACTTCCATTGGAAAAGAATTCCGAAGCTTTCCCAGGCAACCAGATGACGTTTCAGTTAAGTCTTTTTACGTCAGTTGAATGACCATGGTAACGTCAGAAGTTGACCTCGTATGACGTGATGAATAACGTGAATAAGTCACGGCCCGATGACGTCACATTACTCCCGTTCATTGACGAAATTCACTCACCAAACTGTGACGTCGAACTGACGTCGAAATGACGTCAAAATTTGGTGATGACACGTACAAAAGTTTCTTCGAACATGGTGTGATAATCACCACTGACCTCTGATGACATATAATATTGATTATGCATTGTTGAGTCTGCTTGGTAGTCCCTCCGGTGGCATGTCCATTCAATCGTCTATTCAGCAGCGCTATCCCTCAGTACGCATCTCCACCAGAATGAAATCAGTTACTCGTATTCGTATCAAAACTCATATAGTTTGTGTCGGCGAGATGTAAGCAAACCAAGAATAATTTGATAGCAATAAAAAGGATGTTGGCGAATTCAGCTTCACTTTGTTGAGTTACGTATATTCATGCATTATTTGTCACCCAACACAAATCTGAATAGCAAATCATTGTAAAAATTTCTGAATGACAAAGTTCACCAAATTGGTACGTCACAGCGACGTGATTTTTAGACCTCAAAGATACGTCTCTGCAACGTCATGAAAGTTACGGTTTCAATATAAGTACACCAATATTATCATTTGTATGTACATACACATATTATATAAGCTTGATTGGTTTTCGAGATATAAAGGGTGTAAAGGTTGAAAAAAATTTCTCTGACTCTTTGGGTATATAGAATTTCAATTTGAGTTGCATGTTGATTTGTTTTGATGAGTTATACCTACATGTTTCTATATATGTGTGTGGAATCAATGGAAAAACGATATGTTCTAAAAACTTCTCGACACTGAAAATGCCCATCCTGTATATATAGGTACGTCACCAACCTAACGGTTTCACATGATGATGTAAGTATACATGGTTTAGATATGGACTGGGAAACATGGACGTCAACAGGACGTCCCTGCAACGTCATGAAACTGACGTCTTATTTTACCCTTCTGAATGACGCTCACTCGACGTCGAGATGATGACGTGATTATCACGTCATAGAAAGTACGTCATAGTGACGTCATAAATTGGTGTGTGACGTCTCTGACGGGAAATCACCAATTAGGGACGTCACAGTGACGTGATCATTCGTCATCTGGTTGCCTGGGTTGCCGTTCTTATAGACGAACAAATTCTAGTGGAGTGTTGTTCAACATATTTCAAGGTTGACATTTCATTTCACTGAGTATTTTGGCATTTATCTACTTGATAAAATCGATTTTTGAGAATTGAAACTTCAGCTAGACACTTACTGGCAACGTAATCTTGAAGCTCCTGCGCGGTAACCTCTACCCAATCCCTCTTGATGATGAAAGCCAACGGCAGCTCCCCAGCCATCTCATCAGGCAGACCAACAACAGCAGCCTCCTGCACCTTCGGATTATTCACCAGGATCGCTTCCAACTCCGCAGGGGCTACTTGGTGACCCTTGTACTTGATCAGCTCCTTCAGTCTGTCGACTATGTAGAAGTACTTCTCTTCGTCATAGTACCCCAGATCGCCCGTCCTCAGCCATCCGTCTGCGGTGAAGGACTCCTTGGTGGCTCGGGGGTTCTTGTAGTAGCCCTTCATGACCGAGGGGCCCTTGTAACAGAGCTCACCCACCTGGTTGGGGCCCAGAGATCTGCCGGAGTCCGGGTCTCGGACCTTGCAGGTCATGTAGGTGATGACTTGACCGCAGGAGCCTGGTCTGTACACGTCTTTGTTCATGATTGTCAGCGCTAGGGTGCCTTCTGTGCAACCGTAGGCTTGGTAGATCATCTTCAGGTTCAATCTGGAAAAGAAATGAACGTGTGCTTCTTTGAGTTGATCTCACCATCCTACAGATTGTATAATATTGCTATAGCAATATTATCAAATACACATTCACAAAGGGGATCAATAAGAAAAATATTAACACGTTGACTGGCACAAGGCACTAGGTATGTGCCTTGCCATTTCGGCTATTTAGGGTTCGAGGCACACTATTTGTGCCCTATATCAGTCAACTCTCTAAAATTTCATGGTACATCGTGAGTGCCTTGAAGCGTATATATTAGCATGTGATCACAATCTTCGTGGCGCAGGGGACCCAAATTCTCAAAAACTCCAGGAAAAATATGAATATTCCAATTTTTTTCAGCGTTTATTTTGAAAAATGGATTACCAAGCATATGCACAATGGATATACATATATATTATTCTTCTGAAAAAATGCAGAAATAATGAAGAAAGAATACTGCCAAACTTTCATAAATGACCACTTTCTTTATAACAATGTCGTCTTGTGGTGTTGGAAAAAATACGTTACGCAATAACTTCTTTCACAACCACGCTGAGCTACGTTTGTTCCTTCTTCTTGTGCCTGTTTCTCGTAACAAACCACACACATTTGAAGGTACAGCATTCGTGCCTCACGGCCCGATACTACAAAATCCATATGCTGGGGCCTCGAGGCACATATATCGTGTCTTCAGAAAAAATTTGAATAAAATCCGAAATATATGTTTTTTTCGCATATGTCACATATTTCCTGAAGAAGTACTATAGTTCCAATCATAATCCATCATAATAAAAAAATGGCCCAGGGGAGCCAAAACTTTTTTTCTCCGTTTGGCAGCAAATATCAATTTTGCTGACACATATCAATCAGCAAAGTATTACTTTTCCTGACTAGGCAGCAAAGTGGTTACTTTGCTGATTGATATGCATCAGCAAAATTAATATTCCATAAACCGTTTATAATTTCCTTCATATTTCATCCCAGACTTCTCCGGCAACAAATTCAACTATATTTTTCGCCACCTCCCTTATTTCTGAAGGTGTAAGTACTTCCAGGTCGCTATCACTGTCCATTATATAATAATTTAAATATACCGATATTTTTTCGCACAACTGTCAGAAATTTCATGAATTGTCAAACTATAATTATTATGGACATTTCTATCAAATTTAATTTTAATTGAACACTACAGGAGAAATAAAGAGATTGTGAGAATTGTAATAATTTGCAAATACAATATCCTCCTATATCATTATGAACAATCGGAGAAAAAATTATATGTTCAACTCGGCAGCAAAGTAGATTGACTGCCTTAGCTGGATTCCTAGCCTCGCTACGCTCGGCTATGAATTCAGCCTTGGCAGTCAATCAACTACTTTGCTGCCTAGTTAAACAAATAACTATTATGTACTGCGACAGTCAACGTATTAAAAAATGTTAATTTATTAGGTTAATTCTCGGAATGTTGTAAAAGTGTTATCATTTTTGTAAAGCGCAAAGCATCAATAATTCAAATATGAGGAAATATACAGGGTGTGTCATTCAAAAAACGAAACTATCCTATAAGTTGAAAGATAGCTGAGATGCAAAAGGGATCCTAGAATTCAACATTTTCAATTTCGTCCTGTACCCCAAAAATGGAACAGGCTATGAACATTTTGTTTGTGTTATCGTGAAAACCGCAAATCTCTATCTTCAAAAATAAGTGAGATATTCCGTAAGGACATCAGAAATGAGACAGCCTGTACAATTTCTCAATATCAAAATACTGTTCCATTATTTCACGAAAGAGTCTGAAAAAAGTACACTTTGTTGCTAGGCGATGAAATGAATGCTTGCGTGAAATAGTCCCATGCACTGCGTTGTGGGTAGGCTGTATTGTTCGACGAACAAGTCTGTTCGAACAAAAATGAAGCAAAACCGTAGTGGGTGGCTGCAAAATGGTCGTATTCGCTAGCCACGCACCACACACTTCGGTTTCGCGTCATTTTTGATCGAACAGCCCACCAATAACGAAGTCTATGGGCTCCTTCACGGGATTCAGCAAGGCAGCAAGCGAACAAATCAAGGCAGCTGACTTCTTATCCTGTATGGAGTGCCAGTGTTATAGAGATTGGAGCAAGAAAAAGGCGTCACGATATCCTCGCGTATTAGATAAAAATATGCTAGCATCTCATGTGTGATTTGATCAGCCTCGCTCAACGCAGGCGCGATGAGCAATTCATTCAAACCAGTCGAAGGTGGCTCTGTCTATTTCGTCATCAAAATCCACGTGTTCTCAATGAAGTGACATGAAATGTAGTTGATAATAATTGCGAGAGTCTTTACCTTCTGTGGAACCGAAGGCTTGCTGAAACATCTTTGAATTCAATTTGGGGAAGAATTGACGTAGACTTTTTTGTGAAGATCTTATAATTACACATACTATATGAGACAAGACGTTATTCAGAGAACGTAGGCTAGATCTACATAAAGAGCTGAACGAAATACACTTGAAAGAAGCTCGAGTCTTCTCAAGATTAGCTTATAAAATCTGTTCTGGAAGCTATGACACATCCCAGCAAACATCTTGATATGGGGCATCAATGGCCTAGTATATTTTTCCCATGCCTGACATCAGCGGCCCAGTAAATGGTCCTATATGCGGGACTCTATATATCAGTACACTGCGGTCGGCAGCTGGTCCCAGTACTGGGTACCCAGCAATCATATTCAGTTCCCCGGCAAAAGGCCAGTACAACATAATCGACACATTGAGTTTCCCATAGCAAGCCTAGCATATACATAAATGATGGGACTGTAATGGCCAATTAACGACATTGGTTACATACTATCGAGGTAGGGGAGGGGCAGGGGTTTTAGGGGTCCAATGGATCTGAAAGTTCTAGTACCTCTTTATTTCACAACATAACCCTCTCATCATAAATCAGACACATACCAGATTTCAAGAAAACAATGTTATGAATGACACAATGATATATTCTTAACCTTTCTGTTCTTCAACGATGAAACTTCTCGGAGTGACTGCTTACGTTGGTGTGTGGTATCTACATCTTATTGGGTAGCATTCCTTCGAAGTTGATTCTTGGTTGTGAGGTTCTTCTGAAATATAAAATGCATCATTTGTTTTATATTAGTGGTGTATGAGTTGCATGAGTTTATAACTTTATAATATAGTCAAATGACGTGATAACATGGAGCTTTTCAATTCTTATTATGGTGTTGGCACAGGTAATTCTGTAGCTGAAATCTTATTGTTATTCAGTTATTCAATATAGAGATAGGTTCACATAACCTGAGATTGCTTTCGATAGCAACAAACGAGTTAAAAATGATGGTTGCTTTTAGAGAAGTATAGTTAACTCCAATTATCATAATCATTAGGTATATAAGGTTACGAGATACCAAACACATGCATCAAATAATGACATTCAAAACACTATGTATAGGTACATTGATACTTACTCAATATTATCATAATTGAAGAATCTGTCTTTCATTATTATCAATTGAGAATACTCCTGCCATCATAAATAACCACCACGGAAAGAGGGGACCACATTAATTCGACATAAACAAACTAGTACGCGATCACCACACACGAGAGTCAGCCATCTTAGTCACATATGATATTGATCAGCTGATTGTTGATGTAGACGTTCCCAAAACATCCGCCAGGGGGACGGGTAGTGAATATGAAATTGGCCAGCAAAGGGCCAGATATCGTTAGTATTCAATTAGTTACAGACATCTTACCATCACAAGGCCATCATCGTATTTTTAACTGATGGTTACTTGGCATGGGAAAATCATCGGCCCATTACCTATACCCCGGCATCGTCACTTTCCCAGACTAACCTGCACTAGGCCGGACTTCTCCCGCTAGTTCAATGTTTGCTGGGATCATATACTGTTGACTCCAACCCAATTTTATTTGACCGCAAAATACTGGTCAATAATGTCCAGATTCAATCTGAGTAAAAATAAGCTTGAACTTTTTATGTTGATCTTAGGATCAATATATGATATTGTGCAAGGATTAAATGATCCTACAACAGAAACGAGACAGAAAACAGCTGAAAGACCATATGAGGACTATCTTTGATGGTAGAATCCTCGAGAATCTAGCATGAGCCTAGGTTTACAAGCCCAGATTCTGGAATTCATTCTAGAAGATATGGCACATGGTAAAAATATGACCCTAACCTAACTCTTTTGTTCATCATGGTCAAGGCCAGTAAACCTTCTGATGATGGCACAATTTCTCAATCAAATGAAAAAATCTGAACATTAATTCAATATACGAATATTTGTGTGTGTGTGGGTTAGTTGAACCCATGAAATTTCAAAGATTCTTGCACAGTAGATGCCATTTCTTCATCATTTTTCAGTTATCATACTAGTATTATAGTAAAGGGTGAGCACCAAAATCGGTCGTGTCCCAATCAAATACAATTTCTCCAATGGGGTAGACCACTGAGAGAAGAAATCCGTGCAAACCTCTTTTAATCGACGAATCATGAGTTACGTTTGATGTACAATCAATATTATGAGTTGAAGTTGAAGGATATCGAATCTATATCGTTTTGAGCTTGAGCAACAAGCGCGAATGGAGCACAGGATCCATCGAATCACTGGGAAGGAACACCATTACTTGGTATACGGACGGGTCTAAAACACCCGAGGGAACTGGAGCAGGAGTCTTTGGGCCTCGCACCAAATACTTTGAATCCATGGGACAATTCCCCAGCATTTTTCAAGCGGAAATACACGCCATAGGAAGATGCATCCAGTTCAACCTAGACAGGAAATACCGGAAGAAGGACATCGCGATCTTATCCGATAGCCAAGCAGCCATCAAAGCGTTGAGCTCTCCCTACATCAACTCGAAGATGGTATGGGAATGCCTAAGCAAATTGAATGAGCTAGGCAGCAACAATAAAGTTATCCTCCTCTGGGTGCCAGGGCACATCGGAGTGGAGGGGAATGAACAAGCAGACGCTCTGGCACGACAAGGGGCTTCAACGCCACTGATCGGACCAGAGCCATTCTGCGGCCTTGGAAATTCCTATTTCCAAGGAGAACTTGAGAAGGCGGAAGGAGCCTGGAGAGCCAGACAATGGAGAAGACTTCCAGGACTACGGTAGGCTAAAGATCTCCTTGGAAATTTCAACCGAGAAAGATCTAAGACACTGACAAACCTCAGCAAAGGAAGTCTCAAAGCAATAACGGGATTTCTAACGGGGCATTGCAGACTCAAAGAACACCTAAGGAAGCTAGGCTCACAGGAGGACGGCACCTGTAGATTCTGTGAGGAAGAACCAGAAACACCCCATCACATACTGATGGAGTGTGACGCTGTACATCACAAAAGATTGAACATACTGGGAACACACCAGCTGACTGTGGAAGAAATACCACAGCTAGACCCCCTCAAAATCCTCAAATTCCTGAAGGAATTGAATCTCGAGGGGCTTCTATGAACAGGAAATCCTTGATATAGCAGGAGCAGATGGGGCACAATAGATCTAATTAGGTCGCAGCGCATCTGTCACCATCCAACCTACCAATACCAATACCAATCGTTTTGAAATCAGCATATTTCATTCGATATTTCAAACAGCCAAATATGATGGTGGAGTCGTGACGTATTAGTCCCGAACTGTAGCTATCTCTCTATGATACCTCGTCATTCTGCAGTGTTGCAGTGTGATTGGTCAGTTCAAGGACAATAGGCGTGTTGGGACTAAGACGTCGCACCAGTCACACCAATGAATTGACAAAATTTCAAATGGCGCAGGAATTGTGTGCTTTGAAATGGATATATTCTAATTTATTGTTTCCATCGTCTTTGCATGAATGACAAAATTCAAAACTGATTCGCTGGTAGTATTTTAGTATAGAGTACACGATAATGTTTTAAAAAATCAGTGGTCTCCCCCATTGCATGCCACCAAGAACTGAATATTAATTGAAGGAGATACATGATTACGGAATTGTTAAAACCGAGAGATGCGAAAATAATCAAAGACTTAAGAAGCTCAGAGTCTGTCAGACACCGCGCGATTACTGAAGAGTAAAAGAACCTTGTTCTTACCTTTTTTTCAACTCCACTTCAGTTTCCCCGCTCAGTGGTGCTGCTGCTGAGAAGAACTCTGCCACACTGGACAGATTGTAGTCTTTGATCTTGGGTGTTTTGGACAGGAAGATAGCTAACGGTGGTGTTACCCTGAGCACTTCGATCTTGTAATCCTGGATGGCCCTCAAGAAGAAGTCTTCCTGATACCTGTCCATCATTATAGTGATGTGGCGGTTGAGGAACGAGGTGAGACCGAAAAATAGGCCGTAAGAGTGGTAGAAGGGCATCAGGCCGAGGACTCTGGTGTAAGGAGTGAGGTAAGCTGGATCCCTGGAAAAGTAATTCGGTTTACTAGGCACATTACTGTAAATCATTGAAACACAACCTCACTTCATTTATTTGTTTACAGAAGAATCAAAGGATTGAAATAGTTTTTCACAATATTTTGGCATACGAGTCGTGTTTTTAGCGCTATTTATTAATATAAGCATACCTTCTCATTGTGCTGTTGTACAATGCACAAAAAATGCAGCGAGAGACGAAGGAATATGTTTCTTCAGGTAAATAGTAAACCCACATAGTTTTGATAATGAAATTTTGTCATTTCTTATTGAAATTCCTTCTGCCACTTCTGCAATGGAACCTGATACTGCTAATAGATTGAAAATGTCTAGAAAACACACGATAATAATTCGTCAGCATGTCACTCCAGTCCTTCCGTTTATTGCATGAATCCAATCTTCTCGTATTATTTTAGAGATTTCACGAGTATTTCTATAAGCTTCTATTGCAGGAGGAATTCCGATCACCAGATTTCAATAAAATAGAAACTATATGTGAGTGACTATAGTAGGAATACTAACTAATGTAAGTAATGTATCAACCGGATTCCTTCGTCTCCCGTTGAATTTTCTGTGCATTGTACAACAGCACAATGTGATGGCATGCGTAAATTGATATATAGCCGAAAAACACGATCCGTATACCAAAATAATTGTGAAAAACTATTTCAATCACTTGTGAAAAATTGAAAAAAGTGAGGTTGTGTTTCAATGTTTCACCTCCAGGGTCGGTCATCTGACAGTTCTTGCACGCAACCCATTAAACAAAGAGGTTAGGTTTCAGTTGTGTAAAACTGGCACAGCCAATGCACAGTATCTTTTACAACTGTCAACAATTGTTAAACAATCATTCCCGTTTTACCGCCAGGTATCTCAGTTGTTGTTGAAAATAGAACCTCATTTTCGTTCATGTGATACAGGGCCATTTCGAAAATTTTTAATTTTTTCACCCCCTCTATATCTACGAAGTTTCTTAGCGGAAATATCGAATTGAAATCTTATCCCATAGATTTTAGGCAGGATCCAGTGACTCACTCCAATTATTTTCGTGGTATGGATTTGGAGGTGGGTACTACTCAAACTTATGATTTTTAGAATCCAATACTCTCAATTTTTTCAGCTCATTAAATTCCCTTTTTTCATCTTACTTGATTCTTTGGGATTTTCTCTCCTCGTTTCTATAAAATAAAAGTATTCGAAATTATTTCAATATATATGTAGAGGGACAAATTAGATGATTTGCCCCGAAATGTCACTGTGTTTATCAAATTTTTCTATCAGTGACATTTTGGGGCAAATCATCTGATTTGTCCCTCTACAAATACCTATATTGAAATAATACGAATACTTTCATTGTATAGAAACGAGGAGAGAAAATCCCAGAGAATCAAGTCATATGAATGTACCACCTCCTCGATTAACCTACAGACAGTATTTCCCTTTTTTCATTCGAAATGATATGTGAATGGATATAAAACTCTCAAAAATGCTCCGAAAACGCTAGAGCATTAAATTCTTATAGTGGGCTATGGATTTTTCATATAAAGTAATTCCAATTGAAGGAATATTTCTTTCGATTTTTTCATGAAGAGGACAAAAACAATACTAACACTAATTGACGAACATAATACAAAACTTAGGTATACCTGATACCAACAAATGAATAGTAATAAATAGTTCATAATGAAGAATGAGCAGCTGATTAAATATTTACTGAACCAATTGAATTTTGAAATTTTCAGTAGTTATTCATTCAATTGGTAAAATTTTCATCACACACTTTCTCAATACGTCTCAATGCATCCAAAATCTTTGGAGGATGTCTTTGTAATTCCAGGAAAACTTCTTTTGTTGTTGAACGAAGTTTTGCACGATTCTTGTGCCTCTTAACATCAATTTCAAGGTATGGAATGTATGAAAATTATATATTTTCGAAATCGGCAAAAATAACTTTTTCAAGATATGCAATGTATGTGGAATGGGAATATAATATATGGAGGGCCCTATTTGAAATAGGAGAACATCTGTTTGGTTTGAGGTTTTCGATATCCTGATTAGTTTTTGTGATTTGAGTGTTGATGGCATTACATAATCGCGACGATACTAACGATAATAATTTTTACGGTATACACCTGCAGGTTACATTATCTGAATTGAAAAATCAACAACTTTCATGTTATTAGGACATAGTTGCAGATTTAGACGCACGACGCAATATTGTCCCACACTGTATAATGAAAAACTGTTTCGTCTGGCGAGACTGAAACACCCTATAGTTTTGAAGATCTAATTGAACTCTCCTCATAATCCTATTTTGCCTGGAACTCAAGGCACTGAATCAATTTGTGTAGACATTTTCAATCATCTGTTTTTGTTCACTATCTGTTTGATCAGCTGTTATGGAAATTGTGAGTCAAGAACAATACATGTCTGGAAATATGTCTCAATACATTTTGATATTCATTCACCCTAGGAATCATTAAAAAAATAATGGCTAGTATAGCAAACGCATAATTGAAATTTTCCAATTGTTGTTTTCCATTCTGATAAGCAAAAGTGCATTAAACTGATTGTCTTATATGAACTTGACCTAGTGCAATAAAAAATACGTGCCTCGAAAGGTATATCCATAGCAACAAGATAAGCTGGAATATTCCCTATTCAATATATCAGAACGAATGAATAATAATTGAATTTTAATACCTATTATATTATGATTTATTTCACCTGATTGAAAGTGACTAATTTCGTCAAAACTATAATTAAACCACTACTCACTATAACTCCAGACTAATTATATCTACTAGTTGGAACTAAAATTCATTGAGAATGATATGGTGACTCTGTGATATCACAGATTTCACAAATACTGAGAAATTTCCGAGATAGGTATTTATATTTTCTGATTTATGTAATATCTAGTGGATTATACCAAGAGTCAATGATGTAATAGTCATATTATTCCAGAAAATGATTGCCGTGATTCCGAGTAGTATACTCTACTTTATTTACAAAAAATTTCACAATACTTTTATAGTTGAAGATTGTGCAGTATGATGCCATACAAGGTGGCCATTTGAAAACGCTAGGAACGGTCAATTTTTGATTTTAAAAAGGAACAATTTTCTTGCTAGTTTCACTGAACGAAAACCCTCTACCAGAGATAAGACTCACCCCTAAAATCTTGAGTGAATTTCGCATTTGCGAGGCGGAGCGTCTAGCGAAGCCGAGCGAGAGCAAAATTTTGCGAGTCAAAAGAAGTCACTTTTCATCCGAATGAAACATGCTATTCCATCTGCATCCGGAAGAACTAAAATGATTCTGTGAAGTAACCACCAATGTGACTCACTTAACAAATTATTATAATACCTTAAATATAACAATATGAGTGAGTAGATATAGAAACAAGACCTCAGACTACTTTACTTTGTTACAATTTGTGTTGACAAGCATCATGTCATCAGATTATACAGACACGAATTCAATACTATACCCGAAACGTGGCGGTCGTGCCATATTTTGTTTATGTTCTGTTTCCCACAAAAGGGATATGCTGTAATGTTCGGAGAACATCGTGAGAACCGAGAGAAATCAGGTAGGTCTTGGTATTATTCTTGGATTTCTGGAGGTTATATGCTTCGGACAACACCTCCCTTGGCAATGTGTTCCAGAGCCTCGCTGTACGTTGGATGAACGAGTCTTCAAAAAGAGATGTTCTGCAGGTCCAAAGTGACCACGAAAGGGTGCGAAGCCTCAACTCGACGGGTTCTTCTCGAAATGAAAATATAGCCAGATCGCCAACTTTCCTACGGTGCTCCAAAGAAGTGAGTGGGTTTGTGAGCGAGGCATCACCCACGAGACGAATTGCTCTTTTTTTGTACAGAATTCAACAGTTTCAATGCAACAAATAAAACAAGTGGTGAGAATATTCTACCTGCATTTACAGATCAGATTCATCCAATAATCAAGGTTGTTCGAGTTGTTGTTTCAATATGAATACAGCCACAGATTGACCCATTTGTGTATAGACCAGGTGTCAGCCCTAATAGCAAGTACCGCGCCACAGTGCCAGGCCAGGTATAGGAAAACGACGTGGAAAATTTTAGCTTAGTTAGCATACCAACAATAATAATAGTGATTATTCATCTCTCTCCATTCGCCACTGTGCTTGGTTCGGTAATCAAATGAAGCTGAACAATATCGTTGTGTGAGACAAACAAGTATTGCAAAGAATAACGAATGAAATAGAGATTAGGCAGGTTTGTGAATCTTGAAGGCTTTCCTGATCATAACAAAAATACCTAACTATAATATGGTGTATTCATATCTCCAGCATGGGTATGAAATGCCAAATCTGCCAAAATCGGAAACAAATCTTCGACTCGGAATAATTCTTTTAAATATCCATGAGCTTGAAAGATTTCCGGAAATAATTTGACCTCTAGTGGTATCACAAGTGGAAATAAAGACGAGAGATTATTAGTAATTCCTCTCGCATTCAATTATTTCCTAAGGACATAATATATGGCATTATACTGCAAACATCACATTTATTATTATTTACTCGTGGTTTGATCTTTCATTATACCCAGAGATAGATAAATCTTGAAAAAACAGGAAATTCGATCCAGCGAAATAAAAATACTTTTATTTTTGGCAAACACGGTGGTCTAATAAAAACATTATTTGAAATCGTATAATCATCATTGATACATAAATCCAAGCATGAAAATATGTTTACACTTTTAGTGAATCTCATTTGAAAGATGTTTTGAAATCACACTCATTATATGATTATATCAGGATTTGTATTCGAATTACGCGAATCAGTTTTTTATGCTCGGTGAATTTCAACAATAATAGATATTTTCACATAGTTCCTTCATTATGTATAATGCATTATGTGTTCCGAACAAATACGAGTTGACACTCTCATTGAATAATAATTTTGAAGATGACTTCGAGAGTTATGAATAACTAATACTTTGTCTCCTCGAGGAGTGAAAAACCGAAAAATCTGTGGAGAAATGGAAATGTCAACTCTTCGATCAACTTACTAGTCCAAGAGCAAGAGCAAGAGCTTTAGATTGATCGAAAATGTTTGGTGTGGAATCCGTTCCTTCATTAATAATTTGATTTCTCGACTATGAGCTTTGACAACAATTCCAAAACTAGTAGCATCAAAAAATGTCTTCAACTCCAAGTAAGTCAATCACAAAAAAGGTAATTTTTCCACATCAACCTTCATTTTGTATTGTAGAACTTTCAATCAGGCTGAAGATGATCTTTCATAAGTGAATATGTAGCAACACCATTAGAATTTGTGGAAATGACTTCGAGCATTCCTTCCTTCCTTCGAGGTATACCATTTCGTTATAAGATGACGGTCTAAATTTGCAGCTGTCTCTCCTAGACAGTATTTGACTATTACCTTGACTGCATCAATCTTGTGACAACATTGGTATGAGTCAACATGACTCCTTTCGGCATCCCAGTGGTGCCTGAAGAGCACAATATGAAAGCCACATTCTCCTTGGGATCACCATCGAACGGCGAAAACTGAGACGGTGACATCCTCTGACCTCCCAGGTAGTTCTGGATGAATGTTTTGATGCTCTGTGTGCCGGTGAAATTTTCTTCACTATCGATAACCACTATCACCTATAGAAACATATCGAGACATAAAAACACACAAATAATCGGAAGAAATGGCTTTTCAGATACTTTCTTCCGAAAAAGCATGTCAAAATCTGGAGAGCCTTCTTTACCACCCCGTTGGAAATTCATCAACGGTAGGAGATAGTATATTGTGCAACAAGTGGGAAAAGTGCTTTTTCCCACATGTTGCACACTATACTTTTTCTACAACTGCACTTATTCAAAGAATACAAGTAATGTTACTTATTGGTATTCATTTTATGATGTGGCACTATGCCACATTGAATATTGTGACCAAAGAGTAAACGCTTCTCCTAGTTCCTCAAAGTATTTCAAAACAGTACACTTTCCGAAAAAGATTTTATTTCTGTGTTTTTTTAGAGTTCAAAGATTTTTCATACCAATATGCCAATGCATACTTTTTTCTTGAAATTTCCGGAAATAAATCCAACTTTCGCAGCTTTTCCCATTACTAATCTCTGTCGCTGACGGTGTATTTATCAAAATCGTCACATCTCGGTATGTACATCATATTATCTATTATAAATTGTTGGAACAATATTTGATGAAAAATGCGATCTCTAACATGCAAGAGCAATAGTCTCGAAACTTGATATTTTTTTGGAGAAAATCCCATCAAAATATACAAAGAAGTGCATTGGTTAAGAAATTAACACAGTGCATTTGCACGCCAATATTGCATGCAAAGTTGTATATTGTGATACAAGGAACACCAAAAATATGCGTGCGAAAGAGCATACATTGAATAATTGTTCTACAATACCTCCAACCATGTTTAGTTAATATTTCAGAAATCACAGTTGGGCGTATGCAGATTCGGATATTCAAATTAATATCATGAATATTGAATGAAAAACCAATTTGTATGTAATAAAGAATCGTTCAAGATCATCAATTTCCAATGGAAATTCAAATTTGGTTGGTGACACCGCTGCATGCTAGCACATTATACAGGGTGTTTCATGAGAAGACTCACATAGCCAAATGGTTAATAGGGGAAATCAAGACGAGTTGATGTATATATATGAAAACATTTTTTGACCCTCCATAACGAAGATACAGGGTATTATGTGAAATTGCTATATAACTTTGATGGTCGATATTACAGAAATGATTCGTCGTAATCTGCTGAAATTTGGCAGCGACGTACCACTACTGGAACTATTTAAGATAACATATTATGAAAAAAATATCCAGGTCCGGACTTGGTAAAATTTTATATTTCATTGTTATGTCAAAAAAGTTCACTTTGTGACCACTTTTCTCAAACAATTCCATCAGATTCAGAAAGATCAGACAAAATGCTATAAGAACTGCTCTCAAATTTACACGGCACACTGACCGGTTCAACAAAAAAATATGGAACAAAATCGTTCGAATGAATTTTCAATTTCGACCTGGCTGATAACTCTCAACTTTTAACTGGATTCGTGTAAATTGATTTTTTGTACATTTTCATTGTATAGAAATTGACAGAAGAGATTAGTACTGATTCTTTTATGATTTGACATGTTAGTTTTTGACCGAACTTCTAGATAGATATGATTACTCGTGACTCTATTTTATAAATTTATTATAAGGTGGGCCCTGTTTTTATTTTATGTAACATGACGTTTGTTGATAGGTAAACACTGGTAATCGAAATATTCTTACACTCTAGGTGCCACTTGATATTCCAAATGCTGAACAAGACGAAAATGTTTAATACCATAGAATATTCCCAGGCCCAAGAATACGTTGCAGTAAAACCTTCACGATGATGAACATTAGGAATTTTGAATAAATAGCAAATGCATATCCTTATATCACTTGCAGAAGTGTATCAATAACAAAAAATGGAGCTAAGTTTATGCGTGATGGCATAACTAATAAATTTGATAAATCACCATAATATGGGCACATGAATCCTCATGTCGTAATTTCATCAGTTGGTACCTACCTAGTACTAGCCTAGTACCTACCTATCATTTCGGATTATCAACAAACGTCACGTCTCGTCACACAAATGCAAAACCGGACCTACTCGATATCTCACTTCATGCGACACCCATAAAACAAAGTCAGGAATAATAATATCTATCTGGAATTTCGATTAAAAAATATCGTGTTTTTTCTTTTCGTCTATTCTTCTGTCAATTACTATTCAACAGGAATGTAGGAAGAATCAATTCACATGATACCAGTTGAAATTTGACAGTTATCGAAATTTAAAATTCATTCCAACGATTTTGTTCCATATTATTTTATTGAACCGGAGAAAGTGTGCCGTGTGAATTGAATAGCAGTTCTCATAGAATGTTGTCTGATCTTTCTGAATCTGATGAAATTTTTCGAGAAAAGTGGTCACAAAGTGAACTCTTTTGACATTACAATAAAACATAAAATTTTCCCAAGTCCGGACCTGGATATTTTTTTTCATAATATGTCATCTTGAATAGTTTCAGTAGAGGTACGCTGCTGCCAAATTTCAGCAGATTACGACGAATCATTTTTGTAATATCGACCATCAAAGTTATATAGCAATTTCACATAATACCCTGTATCTTCGTTATGGAGGGTCAAAAAATGTTTTCATATATATACATCAACTCGTCTTGATTTCCCGTATCAACCATTCGGCTATGTGAGTCTGCTCATGAAACACCCTGTATAACTATCAAGGAAATGTTGAAAACCCATAGAAATCATGTCTTGGAAGATGCATTGAAACATCTAAAATACGTTGCACAGACTCTTTCATTATCCTATTAAAATGGGATCGATTCTCCCATCAAATGATGGCTAATTGAGTTGAAATACCTCCAATTTCCGGGTTATATCAGACGATTGAAAAAAAAAAAAACGTGCCAACTATTGAAAGATTATTTTATGTTGATATGTTCACTAGGTTTACATCATGCAAAAGGTAGACATAAGGTTGAATTTCGTATGACAAAAGAAATACAGGCATATATGATTGAAAATATTGTCCAATATATGTTCTGGTTCCCACGAAAAGGGATATCCTGTAATGTTCAGAGAACATCGTGAGAACCAAGTGAAATGAGGTAGGAATTGGTGTTCTTCTTTGGAGGTTATATGCCCCAGGGAACACCTCCCTTGGCAATGTGATCCAGAGCCTCGCTGTTCGTTGAATGAACGAGTCTTTGGAGAAAGATGTTCTGCAGGTCTCCAAAGTGACCACGGAGAGGTGCGAAGCCTCAACTCGACGGGTTAATCTCGCGGGGACTGCCAAGGAAGGAACAATTTTTGATATTTCAGAAGAGCATCGTCCATGAGAATATCTATTGAATGGAGCCAGGTCGCCAACCTTTCTACGGTGTTCCAGAGAAGTGAGTGAGTTTGCGAGTGAGGCATCACCCACGAGAAGAATTGCCCTTTTTTGAACAGAATCCAACAGTTTCAGGGTATGTTTGGGTGCTGCACTCCAAATATGGAAACAATAATCCAGACAGGTCGGATCTGTGCCTTATAAATCATAATCAGCTGACTGGAAGTGAAATAGCTCCTAGCCCGAAACAGAAAACAAAGGTTTTGGGATGCACTATCAGCAATTGATCTCACGTGATTTTCCCAAGAAAGGTTATTGCTGATATCAATATCAATAATCGAAATGGATATCTTCAAAGGTATTATTATTTCTGACAATATTATGTTGGGTACAGTGAGATCGGCTTTTCTAGAGGAAAGGCATGCTTGTGTTATGTCTGCATTGAAATCTACCAAGTTATTGGATCCCCATTCGAGAATTGTTGCCAAGTGCATATATATGTTGTCAACATTTCTTCTTCGTTCATTTCTGATTTGCCTGGATGGTATTGGAGCCCTGGAAGAGAAGGCGGTATGAAGGGTACTATCATCCGCGAAGCTGTGTACTGGACATGAAGTTGCTTCCAACAAATCATTGATATGGAGTCGAAATAGTGTTAGTGCTTGCTCGCACAAGTCTCTTGAAGACTTCTGGGGGTTGCTCGTAAGGGGGCAACCGAGTGACTGACGAACCAATTTCTTGAGAAATATAAATACCTCCATGAAAGACATCTTTTTCTTCATCTCTAGGTACCCCTTGGATGCTCTCTTGGAGCAAAACACGATCCGCGGCTGCGTGATATTAACGGTATGCAGCAGCTCCGTGGTGGTATAATTCACACTCAGAGGCACCATGATGGTGCCAGCGAAGAGGGAAGCCATGACGGGAACGAAGAACTCGAGGTTGTTTTCGCTGGCTATGGCTACTGTGGTCTCCGGAGTGCAGCCGTAGGAGCGCAGAGCCTGTGCCAGGTTGCAGGCTTGCTCCAGGAGCTGATTGGAGACCAGGTCTTTGCCAGTGTGGGCGTCAATCTGAAAGTAAATGGAGGTTATAGTGATGATATTTATAATATTCTTTATTTCCTGAAGAAAAATCTTGTTGAGAAAGAAAGGTCACAGGGGCGAATCTAGGATTTTTCTGAGATGAAAGCGATCCCGAATTCATTTCAGTATACAGGGCATGTCACGACGAACTAACACTTTCTCTATATCGAGAATCTGTGGAAAGAAATCTGTGAAAATATGCATGCTTATATCTTAGAATACGCTCTCCTCATTTAAAATATTTTTCCCAATGCAGTTTTGTCACTTCTATATCAAAAAGTAGCAACAACTTTGTTATTTCAAATAAAAAACCCTGTTTTTCATTGCATTTTTAGATCTTTTCTAAAGAGCTGATTTCATCGATACATCACACTCGAGGTCTATCGAAAATGATAACAGAGACATAGGGTGTTCAAAATCGAGATATTTCAACTTATGGATTTGTTTGTGTCGAAACTATTCATTATTGACCAAAACGGTTCACATGTTCCTATTAGGTCAATCACTTTAGCGAAAATGGAGAAAAAATAGCAAAACATTTCAAACTTCAAAAATTAGATGACTCCGATTAACTTGAAATTCAACAGGTGTTTATAATTTCGGTGACAATAGATTATGGAATTATTGTTGAAATTAAAAAAAATGGCTGCTCCAAGATGGCGGACAAGATTTGGTCCGATTCCATTCAAAATTGGTGAGTGGGGGTTTTTGAGGTCGGAGATCATAATTTTTTTGTTAAAATTTATAAATTCAAGATGACAGCTTCCAAAAAATTTTTTGTTTTTGTATAAATGACGATAACTCCGTTGTTATCAACACAAAACTATTACTGCGACATATCATCTGTAAGAGAAAAAAAAAAGTTATTTGTAACTAAGTCATAGTGAGCTATGACCTACATTTGAAAAACTAAAGTTGGTGCTGATATCTCAAATTCTAGAAGAGTTGGTATAAATTTCATATTTTTTTCGAAATCACTTTGATTGATTTGAATATTTTCATAAATAAAGAAGTTACGGAGGAGACATGAAAATGATCAGAATCTGTTTTTTGCGTATAAAACAAAAACGAATAGATTTTATCAAAATATTTTTTCACATTATAGTTGGCCTTGACAAACTCCACATTTGGTGTCATTTAACCGACCTCGTATCTCTCACCGTTAAAAAGATACCCATGGTAAGCATGGTAAGTGGGACACACTGTATAGTAATAGAGTGAGGACGTCGAAAGTCTTCCCCTCTTTAACTTTTCAACGGAGAAAGCTAAAGTTCAGCAGAAAATGTACCTCTTTTACTACTTCTTTGCATGATGTCACGTGACCTAGTGTCAAGAGGGCACGAACTACTAATTTTTGAAATATGAAGAGGGGTCACGTGGTATCTACTTTTGAATGTCGCTCGATTCTCTATATCAACCTCTTTGTTTGTGCAAATCTGCCATCAAGCCGTTTCAAACTGATGAGCATTTGAAGCATTTGCTTCAAATATTTCACAAATGAATGATGAACCCAAATAACTCTCAATTGCAACAACATTTCAGGTAAGAATGTTAACAAGTGCTCAAGAATGATTGAAATGTTCACCGTTCAATTATTGACAAAAAAAACAAAAACCGGTTCACGAAGTCATTCCGAACGTTACTATTAGATGTTTCAAATGTTCATTCCATTTCGCAAAAATCTTAATAATATCAATAATGATCACATCTTGGATCAGTATATCTTTCAAGAGGAGGGTCATGGGGTTAACAAACTTTCGAAAGACGATCTAAGGAAATTCAGTGTTCCAATCAAAATGAAATAAATGAATATTTAGATTCAAAAATTGTATTTCACTTCATTCAATGTGTGAATAAAAAGTATCGAATATATTTCTTCCAAAAAACTGGAAAATGCCAAAACTGCAGCGTACAAGTTCGTTTCCCATTCTGAATGATCGATTTATATACAGGGTGATCCAAAAATTCGATGTGAATATTTCGAGTAGGATATATATTTTTGGAATCAGAATAATCCTTTTTCTTTATATGAATATGTGTCCTAACCCCCCTCCCCTTCTTTCGCTGCAACCACTGTGAGTTAGCAAAGACAAAAAAAAGATTAATCAAAATTGTGACTCGTCAAATCTTATGAAAATGGGCATGCCTCTGTATTTTTATACACTTCTAGAGAGTTTTAGGTTACCGACCGACCGATCGTTAATGTCACGTGACTGAGCACAAATACAAATACTATTGATTTTGAGCGATTGATGTTACCGGAAAAACCCAATTCTAGGATACACTAGTTCTTCCTTGACTAAATCAGTATATCCGAAGAGCGATAATACACAGAAAAAAAGTTTTGTTGCACCATCAAAATAATTTTGGTCATTTTTTTTGTTAAATTAAACACAATTTTGCGAAATCAACAAAATGTATGTTCATTGCAAATAAGCAACCTATTGAAAGAGACAAAATAGTTTTATTGAAATATTTGATAAATTGAACAAAAGTTCCATTACATTGAACAACATTTATAGTTGAAATCAAACAAATTTTTTTGATCCAACTATTATCTCATCCATCAATCAATTATATGCATCTGGTCTATATCCGACAAAATCAAATTGAAGCTGGTAGTCTTGAATCAACTGAGGAAATTGATCTCTAATTTCTGTTAGTTCTGATATTCATCAATTGGATTTTTTAAAATATTATTCAGCAACATATTTTGTCGATTCTGAATACAATTCTGTTGATCGAAGAATTCATATTGTTATAACTGAAAATGTTGTCACTTGACAATTTTTAATTGGAATTGGAACTATAGCTTCAATCTTCTCCTGAAGACGCTAACATAGTTGACGAAACACGTGTCGAGGTGTAAAAAATCGGTTTGGTTAGTAGTAAAACAGTGTGTAGTGTATTATCATGCCAAAGGTGTAATGTTGTATGCCTTATGCTAATCGATATCTTGTCATTCCAAAAATATACACCCCAACGGCTTTAGAAGTCAAAAAGGCTCTCTCTTAGTTGAATACAAACTCTATATATTTAATAGCACCATGGTAGTCGTCAAGATTGATATAATTTTTTCAACAGTATTCAATACTCTGGTATATAACACCATGGATAAGTTTAGTATTGATGAGTATGTAGATATGCACCTTTTGTATAGACTAACAGAAACCTTTGAAGGTTAACAACTCCGTTACGAAATACTATAGACATTTTTTTATATGAAGTACCAATATTATTTCGGTTTGCTTTATCAGCCTTATCATTTACGATATGACCTTTATGGACACCCTGTATTGTTGAAGAGAGTCAAATAGTCTATTGGTTCCTTCATAGCATACTATCACATCATCTACATATCTTTACCATAAACCAATACAAAACATTGTTTTATTAATAGATGTTCATGTATTATTCGCTCCAAATCAGCCATCAACATTTCAACAAGGGCTCAGTGGATTTCTAACAATCAATCACTTTGATGCGGAATATCATGTCATAATATTTGACTTTTGAAATATCTGACCATATTCAAAATTTCAATGTGTTGAAATCTCCAACAGAAACTTCTGAGTCAGATAGACGGACAGGAATAACAAAGAGAAATCTCATTTATCATTATCAAGTACGCAGCTTTCAAGGGCAACTTTGATTCCTGTGATATATTCATTCATCGTTTCATTTGTTGTTTGATTTCATTTTATTGGTGTGGAACTCCCTAACCAAATAACAAAGTATTCTAAAATACTGTCAGTAGTTCATTATTCCAGATTTTTTGTAATTTTCTCTCCTTGTTTGTATAGAATAATAATATGTATTATTTCAATATTCGTCAGCAATTGTCGATGAGAACTGAATACAAATTTGCTATACAAATATTTATTTTTCATGTTGAAAACGGGAGCAGATTCGTTCCCGAAACGTCAAAAGCTAAGTGAAAATTCGATATTTATTCTATATACCTTCGTTTTTCTCCTCCAAACCTTCCTAAATACAAATTGTCACTGACAAGCTGGTGATTTTTTTTTGTCTCTGTGATAGAATAATTCTTTGAAGTCAGTGACATTTTGGGCCAAATCATCTGATTTGTCCTTAATACACGTATATTGGAATGAGATTAAACTTTTTTTCTACAAACGTCAGAAAACGACCAGGTTCGCTCATCGATAATGAATTGGGAAGTAACACTTTTTTTCTGTATCCTACGTTACCATGATACCTTGCACAAAACAATGCGCGAAGTAAAACAGTGCGCGAAGTACCTACTTCGCACATTGTTATGTAAAATATATGAGATATCTATACTTCAACTTTATGGTCATCAATCAAGCAAACACCCACGAAATCACTTCTTCCTGAATGTTCAACAATATCTTTGTTTTATCTCTTGGAGCGCACGAAAGGAAATTCCTATTATGTTCGTGGAACATCGTGCGTACCTAGGGAGGATAGGTGGAGACCTTCGAAGCCAGTTCAACACTGTTTATTACATCAAGCTGAGCATATTTTTACTTCACAACTATATTTTTTGACGTTTGTAGAAGAAATGTTGTTAGCGACTCGAGCGCGAAATAGTTTGGACATCTCGAGTATTTTTTAACTCTGCTACGCCTCGTTGAAAAAATCAGATCTCGATCACCAAAGTAGCATTTTGCCCTCTAGATACAAAAATAACTATCATTTTATGGAAACGAGGAGGGGAAATCCCAAAAAATCTGGAATAATAAAAGTATTCTAGATTCTCTCTAGTCGCAAATTTTTTGAAAAAATATCACGTCGATAAATACATACCATAATCTGATGTCCAGGTGGATTCTCGTGCAAAATCTTGAAGAAAATCTGCCCCAAAGTTTCGTTCACAAGGGGTTCGTGAGGCTCAGGTCCATGGATGAGGTAATCGTTATCTTCAGAAAACATTATGTCTGAGTATGATCAGATTCACGGCCGCGACAAAAATGCCGGTTCGACTCACGTTTCCAAAGATTATACTGAACGTTTTCGTAATGGCTTATCATCAAATTATTTCGAATGTCTATTATGGCTTGGCGATAAGGGAAACTTTGATTTCAGTTATACACTGCTGTTCATTCAAGTTGTTCTTTAATATTGTGCTACGTATCTACCTCAAACTAGAGTACCTCGAACATCTCAATTCACGCCCTTTGAAGAGTGTGGACACGCTTGGCACCACTGACAAGTCTGAATTATAATGATTCTCAGATTCAAAACGTCAGTTCTGAAAATTGAATAGGCGAAAATGTTTTAGAATATATTTTGTTCGGTAACGAATCGCAAAAATTCAAAGAATATGGTTAACTTCCATTTGGGTTGCTCAAAGACGAGATGACATTTCAAGTGTTCGTTGGACCTTCAAATTTCAATAGGTATTGATTTAATGGAAATACATTCATTGATATTATATTGGTATGACTACACAAAGAGCTTTATGATCCTTTGGTGTTACGCCATAGTTAGGGCTGCAAATAAAATTATATCTGCACTCGTTCAATGAAGGGGTACATAAAAATGACATTCCATCAGTTATAAAACATATTACTTGTGTCTCATGTTTTTTTGTTCAGCTGATTTAAAATATTACAAGTGTCTCCACAATCTTTGATGTGCGTAAAACTAAATGTTCGAGGCACTCCACCTTACACTAGAGGGCTAGTTTGATATAGTTTAGAGCTCGGTTTAGAGATTTCTTTTATCGTGAGACTTTTTTTAAGTTAACCGAATTTACAAAAATTGTGATTGTTTGAACCAATGGATGCCTTGGCAACATTACTTGTGAGCATCAACTTTCTGAAAGCACTTCTCGATATAGAAGAAAATATTTATTCTTGGTGTCAAAGTAGTCCCATGCTCAGGGCTAGCTTGCTATGGCACTGTTTTGAATTTGAGGTCCAAAAAAAAACATTCGGTCAAATGATTTAATGCAATAAGGGGCATGATATTGCAGAATTTACGTTTTTCATTTGAATAAGAACACGTAACTTCCTACAATGAGGTCGTTCTGTTTATTTTATACTCTTTAACGGCCGCCGCTTGTGATAATTTCAACTTCACACACTGCTTTTTTTAGGTCTTCGGTACTAGAGTTTTTGTATGCACAGGCTCCCAGATTCCTTTAACAGGTTTCACAATGTTTCCAATTAATTCTGGCACAATTACACCTCAAAACTCTTAGCAAAGGGCTCAAAGTCTCGCTTTCTGATAATAACAGTGACATAACAAAAACATTTTTCGAATTCAGGGCGAGTAGCCCAAAATAGTGTCAAAGTAATTTTCTAAGTCAAAGTAGCCCTAGTTTACGATACCATTGGAAAAATTAGTTGACATTATCTAAATGAGACATAGAAACGATATCACAGACTTTCACAAAACTAATGAGTATGTGTTTAAAAACAAATTTAAACTGGCCAACGCGATCAGTATGAAGAAGCACTCAAAAACTTAAGATAAGAAATATACAGAGAACTGAATAAAAAAAGGCCAGTGCTGTCGTAGCTAAACCTTTTGATTGAGTTATGAATTTGGTGGTTGGATACTGCCTAACGAAATTGTACAGATTTTTCATTTTTTGGATTGAGGGATCTTCTTGATAGTGTGTAGCTTTGACCGATTAGAATTCTGGGAAGTACTTGAAATCATGTTTTTTTCGATGACCATGGGATTCAAGATTTGGTATCCTATGCTATGTAGAATATTATTGTATATTCTTTGAGAATATACAATAACTATGGATGATTTGTATTCTCAGATCAAAGGTGTAACCCAAATATCCCTGATAAAATAAGTCTCGTGTCTTATTTACAGGGTGTTTAATCAAAGAATTCAAAGAATATTATATTACTTATTGTTTTTTGTTAATACGGATTGAAGTTCCATTTCCGCAGTGAATTCAATCCAATTCCATAATATCGACACAACTAATACACATTAAACATCAAAATGATTGTGCAACTTCATGTTCAACTTGAGATATCTAAAAAATTTACTTCATCGCCATAAATGGAGGATGGGATATTCACGTAGGAAGTATTGAAAAATCGAAATATTATGATAGAACTGTGTCACTCACCCCAGATATCGTACACCTCTTGTAGCAACCATCAGGAACGTTAATTCAACATAATTCAGTTGAGTAAATAGTATCTGAACTTTCCGCCATGAATGACAATGATACGTCAACTTAATAGTTCAAAAGTACTAGGCACAAATGATGTTTCAATATTCAAATTTTCAATTGATCAAATTCACACTTTTTCACATTTTTTCTCTCAACCTATATGCATGGAAGATAGCTGATTGCATTTTGTTTGAGCATTGTATACTCTGAAAAAAAGTTGTTATGCAGCTCTACCAAATACTATAACCCAAACGTATCACCACCAATTATAATTAACCTTTTGAACTGATCATTCATTCTTGTCATTTCATGATAAAAAATAGTCTTCTAAAGGGACGAAATATACTTCGGAGTTTATGTTTTTGATGGAATGATAACACCAGATGGTTCGTGATCGCTTTCAGATTCCTCCTACTATCCCGCGTATACAGGCATGGGAAGTTTAGGTATGAAAAAGTGAAATGCATATATATAGTATGTAATGTAAATTTCCTACTTAGGTATCGTATATAATTATTTTGAGAATCCAAGTATCTGGGATTTCATTCAATCAAAAATAGAGACATTCGGGGGACACAAGAATCAGTAAGTCCTTTGTTCTTGAAAGGCGTATGAAAAAATGATGACAACATGAAAATCAACTCTAACATTGGGCTAGAACATTCTGAAATCCAGCCACTGCCACAAAGGAGGGTGAAAGTATCGAGAATCGAGAACACACCATCAGGAAGGGAACTAATCGAGGCAGAATCAAGGTAGAATGATATGAATATTTGAAGCTGATATTGTGTATTACAATTGTTTGGTGTTTCAGGTGCATTTCATGAAATCCTCAGCCTTGAAATAGATTCGCTCATAGAATAATAGCCTTGAAATAGATTCGCTCATAGAATCATAGCCTTGAAATAGATTCGCTCATAGAATCATAAAACTGAACTAACTGAAGTGACATACGTGGAAGGATAATTAGTTAATCAAATATCCATTTATTTTCGATTTTAGTTCTACCTTACATACATTGATTGAATACATTACTGAATTTATCATTTTCCTGTGATAAGTAGGTATTTAGCAATGGAGCTGACTATAGAAAATATCAGGGTGATCCAACATAAATGTTCCCTCTTGTAAATTCGGTCATTTCTGGACCGATCGCAGAATTCAAAAACTATTTGGTATATTTTTTAGCCAGAAAATATATACTGGGTGTTTCAAAATATATGGGACGCACATCAAGGTATGATAGGGCAGCTCAAAACAATAATAAATGATCCTTCAAAGAATTGACCAGAACTCTTTTGTTTCCAAGTTGTTAAAAATACCTACCATTTTTTATTTCTTTCGATACATTTGAGATGATTGAACCAAGTTTGTTTCATTATACCTATTTATCGTTCTCTGTAGTGGGAGAAATAAGAGAACGCGTCCCACATATTATGAAAAACCCTGTGTGATAAAATCTATCTATCAGAATTCACGAATATTGGTCTAGAAATAACCAAGTTACAAGGGTGGACATTTTTGGAGTATCACCCTGTATATTCCGGAAGATCCTAGAAATGTTACAAGAGAGTCAACAATAATGAAACAGGATTGCTATGAAATCGTCCAGGGATATGTACTTTTTACATTCCGAAATGAAGACATGGTACGTAAAAGCGTTATCGCAAATACTATTTGAGAATGTACTTTCACTGTAACAAAGCTGTTTCATGACACGTATCAGTTTCGACTCTTACTCAACTTACTTGCAACGTCCTGCGATATTGTACTGTTGGTGGACATATAACGACTCTTCGATAATCTTTCAGATGTCAATAGCACCAAATTCACAACGTAACAACGTATCTTGGTTACAATGAAATAACGTTAATAGTATGAGTTCTTGCACAGTGTGGGGTATAATAATATTCTCATTGGTTCAATTCAGAGTTTGTGATGATTCAGTCAACATGTGAACATTCAAAACATTAAGAGTGTTTGATTGAACGGATTCGGAGTGATTCTTTAGAGTTGAACGTAAGGTGAAAATAGTTATCAATGTACCAAGGACGAAAACTGTTTATTTTAGTCGAGTCTGCAAACTGATAGCTAAGGCCTTAGCCAAGGCTACCAATCAAGCGAGAAAATGGACAGTTTTTTCACATCACAATTATGACAAACAGTATACCCGCGCAATATATAGGTGCAGTTATGGACTTGATGTGAATTATACAACCCCATAGTTTTATCATCCTCATCATACGGCATTGGTGTTTGGGGTTTGCGGTATGCTGAATTGATTGAACGAGTTCAAGTTGGTTTTTTCAAGCGCCTACTGTCATTATCGAGAAATACTCCTGATTATATTGTATGTCTGGAGACTGGTTCATATAAAATCAGTACAATTATCCTGAAAGCAGCTTTGTCATGGATTACTAGTGTGAAGAATATGGAAAAAAATCGCTTACCCAAAATTTGCTTGATGAGATTAGCAGTCTTAGATAGCGTCGATATAAAGTAGAACTGGCTCCTTCAAGTCAAGGACATTTTACTCAAAAAATACATTGCAAATCTAAATCAGTCGAGTTTTTCCTACATTTACCAGTCTTTGTCACTGTATAGCACTTGTCAAAAATACTTGAAAATTCCCTGCCCAATTCACATCAGCAGAATCTCATTGCCCAGATTCGTACTTGCAGCAAGCACGATTGAAATTTACTTTCTATGGCTCCGCGTATATGATCAATACTGAAGATCTGTGTTCTTTATGTTATCTGCAACAGAGAAAAACTCTGGAACATATCTTAATAGTCTGTCCTATGAGTTCTGGTTTGAGAAATAACGATTTATTTGTTAAACTACGAGTAATTGACGATTTGATAGATATTCTCAACACCTATTCATATATTTCATTGAAACAGTTAGCAACGACTGTGATGATCATCAATGTATGATCCGAATGGCTCTTGTGTTTCTCCTTATCCGGTCTTACCGTAGAACTTTTGAAATTATCTCTTGATTGTACCTATCCTAAATTATCATCTGCCATAATAGTTGTTGTTTTTTTATATTTGTTTTCTCTATCATGACTGAAATATTTCTATCTTCTCTTTCTCTCAGTGTATATATAAACTGAACACTGTTATATTGATAATATATATATTTGTTCGAACCAATTTTCTTGTAATGAGGATTCCTCTTTAGGTTCAATGAATGTTATTGATTGATTGATCGATTGATTATTCACATCACAGTCCTTTTCACAAGTGAAATCTATCGAAAAGCAAATGACAGTTGAAGTCAACTCACTCTCCGCGCGGACCAGGTTTGCCAGTTCGATATTTATTTCATCAGTAATTTGATTATCACGTCAAGAATTCAGATTCATTTTATGCTATACCTATGTTCAACAATATAGAAAGGAGCATTCTCATAAAAAAATAATTATATTCCGAATTCTCAATTTCTCAATTCTTATAATATTCGAGTATGTAAAAAACTGGTACGAATAGTCAAAAAAACAGCAAAAATACGAAGCAAATGAAAAACTTAAACGTAAGAAACAAACTGTTAAAACAGAGGTTGAAAAACTCCTAATATGATTTCATAAAAATGTATACCCCTTTTCATTTCAATAAAAACGCACGCCACTGTTAAAATCAAGTTCGCCTCTGAAAAACTTATCACATTGGTGGTTCTAATTAGTTGAAATCGCACGAATAATAAGTGAAATATAAAGGAGAGTTCAAGTGAGACACGCTGTATGAATGATTCATTACAAAATGATAATTGATGTTCGTCATTACTATACACATGCCACTTTTTCAGATCGCAAATGAAACTGTCTGGGCTATCAAACCAAAATTACAATTACATATCATATCAATCCTTCATTATATTCACACTGTTATGGCTCACTATGAGAAATCGTACCTAAAGTTTTGAAGGGCCATACAAAAAATCAATGATATTTAGTGTGTTATTGTTGTACAGTTTTTTCGAAGAGCTCTCTGAATGCTAAGAAATCTATCTATAGAGGATATTCTATTCGAAATGTTTGCATTTTTTCTGTTCCCTGTATTATTTCAGAGATAGTGAAAATACTAAGAAATAATTTTAGTGAATGCTCTTCTCTCCCTATACAGGTAGAAATAAATGGGTTCTAGAGGAATGTGGTACTTCATAACGTCTCACCCTTTTAAAACTAACTGCATAATGTCCCTATACTGACTATTCTGTTGGAACAGATATAAAAACATTTTGAATGAAACAAATTTAAGGGGCTCATCAAACGTTTCTTTATAGT